ATTGGATATTTCTCTACTTCATACACAGTTATTCTTACTCTCCACAGGAGACTTTAGTGCATTCACAAAGTGAAAGAAGCCAATCTGAAAAGGCTACATAGTGTATGGTTTCAAATGACAGTCTAGAAAATAAAAGATTATGGAGACAGTAAAGAGAACAGTGGCTGCCACAGATTGGGGTGGGGAAGAGATGAGTAGGCAGAGCACAGAGGACTTTTCGGGCAGTGAAAGTACTCAGTGTGATATCATATTGATGGGTACGTGTCACTACACATTTGTCCCAGCCCATAGAATGTCCAACACCAAGAATGACCCCCAAGGTAAACTAAGGACTTTGGGTGATGGTGATGTTTTAGTGCAGGCTCATGACTGTAACAAATGATTGTCACGCTCTGGTGGGGCATGTTGATAACGGAGGGGGCTGTCCACGAGTCTCTCTGTACCTTCCTTTTAATTTTGCTGTGAACCTACCTAAAACCGCTCTAAAAAAAAAAAAAAAAGTCTAAAAAAATTTAAAGTTAAAAATTCAGTTCCTCTCTTTCTGAGACTCCAGATGGTTACTAAACAACAAATGGGCAGGTGGTGTATGCAGCGTGGATACACTGGACAGAGATGATTCATGCCCGGGTGGGACGGAGCAGGCCAGCGCGAGAGTACATCGTGCTACTCAGGATGGCGCGCAGTTTAAAACTGATAAATTGTTTATTTCTGGAATTTTCCATTTCATAGTTTCAGACCGCCGTTGACTGCTAGTCACTGCAACCATGGAAAGCGAAATCGTGGCTAAGGGGGAACCACTGTACCAAAATGCAAAAACAAATTCACTCTTTCCCCGCGGTTAACAATAAACGTTTTCTTTATGAAGCAAAATGCACACAGAAGGGTTGTTTTCTCCGCTGCTTCAAGGTCAGCAAGGCTGGGACCTGAACAGCAGCGGCAAGCAGTGTCCCCGGGACACAGGAGGACGGGCCAGACGGCAGCGACTGTTTCTCAGAACAGCAGGTTTTCCTCTGCCAGGGAGCCGTGGGCAAGAGAAGGGAGCTCCCGGGACAGCTAGCAGCCCAGTAGCAGCTTGGTGGTTTTCTTTTCCTCTTCGAGGGAGCTATTTTCTTTGCAAAACTACTGTAATTTTAATGGGCTGCCATTTGCTCATTAAAGTCACCTGGGATTTTAGTCAGCAAACGGACCACAAAATAGGACCCTGTGTAATGTTTAGGATTTTGTCATTTAATAAAACATTTTATAAGCTCAGTGCGTGCCTATTAACTGGTAAGGGCCCTTCTCGGGCCCGGGCAGCCTACCCCGCGGTCCACAGTGCACTGGCTGCTCTAGGGGAGTCGCAGAGGGCTCCTTTCCCGGGTTCCCATTTGTCTTTATTACGACACTCGGATTGCAGTTGATGAGTGATCAGTCACTGTTAAATTCCATTCCTGGGAATCTGACCAGGCTCGGCTTCTTATCATTCGAAATCTTATATCATCCCAAATCTTCTGGAGGGCTGTCTCCTATGGAAAGGGAGGCCCTGAGCTTCTGATCCCAAGGAGGGATTTATGAGCTGCTGGGGAGCAGCAGTGTGTGTGTTTCCTCTGATAGAGCAGTTCCTAAGTGCTGGCCCATGAACTGGCTCCATCAGAGTATCCCAGGATGGCGGATGAAAATGGGCCTTCGAAGGCCCCAGCCCAGATCCACCAAGTCATCCTTAAGGTCAAGGTCCAGAATCATTTGACAACCACGGCCCTGGCTTTTTCCTAATACACAGCCAGCTTGGGAGGCACCCGGAGAACAGAATACTCAACAGATTGAAAGGCATGCACTGTGTCCTGAGAGTGAAAATTAGCTTTAAACAGGAAAACCAAAACTGAAACTTAACACAAACTGTTGTGCAGCCACAGAGCGCATGTCGGACCCTAATCACCTGTTTAAGAAGCGCTGATCACAAAGGTACAAACATGGAAGACGCAACACAACCTCTCGCCATGCTCAGAAAACTCAAAAAGGACACCGCTATCAACAGGCCTTCTTTTCTTGAATTGTGTTACTATTTTTGAGCAACTTTGCCTCATTTTACCTTCAGTTCCTACAAATGGGAGACGGGGCTTACATAGCCTTAGGTTCCAGATAAAGCATGACTCAACTCTAAGAAGACCCCGGGAGGAAAGGGGAGACTGACGCCACGAGGCACAGGGACGGACGTGGGAGCCCTGGCCGGCTTGGCTCAGTGGTTAGAGCACCGGCCCATGGATTGAAGGGTCCTGGGTTCAGTTCCTGCCAAGGGCACGTACTTCAGTTGCAGGCTCGATCCCCGGCCCCAGTCAATGCACAAGTGGAAGGCAACCAGTCAATGTGTCTCTCTCACATCGATGTTTCTCTCTCTCTCTTTCCCTCTTCCACTCTCTGAAAAGCAATGGAAAAAATATCCTCAGGTGAGGATTTTAAAAAACAACAATATCACTGCCCCTTGGCAGAAACGAAGTCAGAATAAAAATGAAAAAATAAAAATATCTTTACTTTTCCTCAATCAACAATCAAACAGTTTCTAGAGCTTGTCTTCTCTGACAGTTAAGCCTTCCCAGGGAGCATCTAAGATCTTAGACCCCTTCACAAAAGGCAATTGATGATTGGGGTCCCAGCCCCCTGCATTCCTTGGGCAGCTTTTTCTGCAGGGGGTCCCACCCACACTTGAGCTTTCTCTCAACTTCTCCGTCCTGGGCCCCATGGCTCAGAGAAGATCGACATTCAACAGGAGCAAATTCGAGTCTATCAGGGTTTCTAAGAAGCCAGCTATGACCCAGCAGCACATCAAAGAGTCTGACATTTGCCCTGCTCGGACCCTTCATGCCCTTTCTAAAGAGCATCCACCCACTTTCTATAACGATTAGTATTGATACTTAGTGAGCAGTGACAATGTGCCCCAAACAATGAGAAACACAAAAGCTGCTTTACCTTCCACCCCACGCCAGTGTCTTGCAGATAAAAATAACAGCTGCCATTCACCGAGGCCTTACCACGGACCAGATCCTGTGCGAACCAACTGACATTTAATCTGCACAACAACTTTAATAGGTGGGAAGGCACGGGTGTCCCATTTTGCAGATGGGAAACTGACGCTCACAACCTTACCCAGCTAAAAAATGGGTGTGCCCAGAGCAGCAGGTTCCAAAGCCCCAGCTCTTAACCAGTGCCCCCTAGTTCCTCCTCCAACTTAGGAACTTCTTGGCCAGCTTTGAGTGGCACACACTTTCTATTCATTATCTCCCATCTTGTTTTGGCTGAATTAATAAATATTTTTTAAGGAGAGCCAACAAGAGTCTCTAAAGATTGTGCTGATAGAATGTCACTTGCTTTGCCTCTAGGCGGGCTTTGCAAACACTACAGAAAGGGAGACAGACAAGGCAGGGAGTGGCAGGAAATACCAGCGAAAACGGAGGCCTCCTCTTTCAAAGACGGAATCATAGCTATTCCAATGAAGTGTCGGGGGATCATGGAAAAGCATGCAGGTTGGATTCAAGGGGACTTTTACTTTCTTCTTATGGTCTATACATGCCTTCCAACATGACAGTCCCAGGTCTGGGTCAAAATGAGCAAAGGAAAAAATTGCAATGATTGTTACATGGCTAAATTTATTCTTTAAATAGCTAGTCATTATTCTGAGACTGTTTCCTTATATTTTTAGTATTATGATAGCCTTTCTTCTAAGAAGTGATGATGATAGAAAATGTTCATGTCTTTCTCTCTTTTTAAATTTGTCTTCATTTTATCAAATATAGAGTTGCTCACTTTAGCGTGAATTGCTTTGTAAAGGCTAATAAAAAGTTATTTTGAAAGAAATACATAAATTTTTAGGAGAGCCACATACACATACCTAACCTCCTTAGTATAATTTTATTTCTAAGTTTTTCTAATTTTTTTAAAATTTTTAATTCTTTTTTTACTTACCATCACTGAAGGAAGAGTAGAGAAAAGCAAGAAGTCTTCTTGGCAATGCTGAGAGATTTTTGTGACAAGGGAATACTTAGATGCATCAGTGGGTAAAGTGAAATTTAATAAAATATTTTTAAAAAATTTATGAAGGCATAAGAAATTATTTGTTTGTTAGGCAACAAAAGATATTTTAGTCTGTTGCAGAAGAAAAATTTTTAAATATATAGATATTATTCTACCCAAGCTTAGGCTGCAGCAACTACTGATAAATATCTGATAACAAAACATTTTCCAAAACAAATTATCTGACCTCATAGCATGACACTCAAGAAACAAAAGCTCTATTGTGAACAGACTATCTCGAGAGCAGGCTGTAGTTTGGCTTAGACTAATTTCACATGCTAATGAGAATCTCCAGATAAAAGCTGCTTCATAATGGGCACTAACCAGTTGGCAGATTAACAAGATTCAGACCAAACAGAGCAGGAATTAGACATGTTTGTCATCAGACCATATGGCTGCGAAGAAACTGGGAGAGTTTGTTTTAGCCTGGCCTAGAGGTTTGGGGGGAAGGAAGACAAATAGTTAAGAATCCCAGACAAATCAGAGCATCGCACGGTCTCTACCGGCCTTCACACAAGGAAACTGTGCAGTTTATGGGTAGCTTCTTGCAACTCCTTTCAGTGCTGGAAAAATTGTGTATCCATCAAAATCTGTGTTCCTTCCCTTTCAGGCTTTAGAGTCTGAGAAAAGGTGGCACAGAAAGGAACAGGTTTTAGAGCCGAGCTGTCTGATGAGGTGGGCCCTACCCACAGTGACTATTCCACAGCGACATTAGCCATATCTCCAGTGCTCAGCAGCCTCGTGTGGCCGTGGCTGCCATTCGGAACATCACGGAGGCAGGCAGTTCCCTCATAGCCCACGGGCCTACTGGGCAGCTCTGCTTTAGGGCCAGGGATCCCTCCACCAAGAACTTGAGCTTCCCTCAGTTTCCTTATCTGCAAGATAATATCTGTCTCACAGGAATGGTAGAAGTGTCCAATGTATTTAAGAGGCCTTTGTAAGCTATAACACAAATAAATATTAGCTCTTTCGATGATGATGACGATGGTGATGATGTTGACAACAGCGACGATGAATGACTTCTATATCGGAAGCCTTTGCATAGTTAAAATGATAAGAAATCCCAGTGCAGGACGTGTTCCCGCCCACCGTGTGCTCTCTGTTTCTTCTTCCAAGTTTCTCTTTGTCTCCATGACAGGGGACAAGGAACTAGAAAACGTATGAGAGAATTTGAATCCTAGTTGAACATTAATGATGCACGACTACTAAGTTCTTTTAAAAATCACATCAGACAGAATTCATGTTTTATACCCAATTTAGTGTTTCTCAAGCCAATGGCCCCAACCCCAAGGAGCCCGTGGAAATCTAAGGGTTGGGCAGAGCAGGGCATATGGGGGGAAGGGGTCTCGTGGCAGGGAATGTAGTGTTAGAGTTATTGCCATTATTACAAGTCTTCCCAGAAGTTGTATGTTTTCCTACTTAGGCCAGCTGACATGTAAAACATTGGTTCTGTCTGAAACTGTATCAATTAAGTCTAATACTATTGTTTGGTATATGCAATAGCCATTTTTGTAGGTCAGAAATAAACACTGGCAATTGCACATGGTTCAACCTAATGTTCATCTCAAATTGACCTGTAGCATAGGGGTCAGGAGTTCAGGTTTTAGTTGCCAGATTAGAGTTCAAATCTCACTCTGCCACCTAATAACTGTGTGTCTCTGGGAAATTAAAAGAATAATGGGGAAAACAAATGCAATTTTCAGATCAAATCTTTCAAAGCTCTGCATCTATGAGAAAAGAAAATAATAAAGTGCTTTTAGGTGGCAAAAAGGTTGAGACCCACTGATCTATTACTCAAGGTAGGGCTTTTAATTGGCAACATAGCACCCCCTTCAGGCAACATTAATCATGGAGAACAGAGAACAGAGTCTTGAGTAAGCAAAGGAGATGGCCTTAAAAAACAAAGACTTTGAAGAAGCCCATGCCCTTCAGACCTTAGGCATGATAAAAACACCTTCAGGTTTAACTAAGACAATTGTGCATAAAAAGCTACACTGATAGGAAAACAAAACAAAACAAAACAGTTTTAATTGCAGAGATCAGAAACAGAGGTAAACAAACAAAATAGCGGAACTGTCAAGAGACTTTTGGTCTTGACCTTCTCAATGGCCTGACAGCTTCACCGTATCACAATAATGTTTAGGATCACTACTTGAGAAAGAAGAAACATATACTGTACCGTCAGGATATTTCCACTTAAAAAAGAAATTATTGCACTAAACCTACAGTGCAGATAAAAGGCAGCCCATTGCTCCCCGCTGACCAGGGAAGCCAGGCAGCTGCTTCCAGAACCACCTGCCCATCACAGCCACACATGAGACCTGGGCGCAGACAGCAGGAACTGTGTCAGCACCAGGGAGGAAGTCCCCAGGTTGTTGGGACCAGGGCACAGGGAGAACAGCAGCTAAGACACAGAGTCCAAACAACCAGAGGAGAAGGTATGGAACCAAAAAATCAGAANGGAGAACAGCAGCTAAGACACAGAATCCAAACAACCAGAGGAGAAGGTATGGAACAAAAAAATCAGAAAGCAAAAAAGAGCAGACCAGACAATCGAGGGGGGCCAGATGGAGCCTGAAGATGGAATCCACATACCTGAGTGGGCATGGTTATATGCAAACGAGCAGGATCCATTCAAAGTGACCAGAAAGGGCTGAACTTCTGTGTGCAGAAAACTCTCCCATATAGGATCAGCCCGGACCAGCTGTAAGTAGGACAGAATGACAGAAAGAGCATGGCACTCAGATTCAGACAGAACTGAGTCATTTGGCTCAGCAGTAGCTTTGTGCCCAAGTGCGTGTATCTGAATCTCTGTGAACTTCCATTTCTTTATGTTTAAAACAGGAGCACAACACCACCTTCACAGTGTTTTGGTAAAGACTAGATGAGGCCACATGTCCTGGAAGGTGGCGGGGTCAGTACCTGGTACTTAGTAGATACTCAGTAAACGTTAGATTGAGTCTCTGTAGCGATGATGACTTATCTAGATTTATTATCTCTGTTACACTTGTACTTAATCGGTCATTCCCCTTTTATACCCGCCAACATTCATTCCTTCTTATAAAGGCCGCTCTGTTTATTCTGCCAAAGCAACGGGAATAGCAATCTCCATCTTGAGACTTACCTAGAATGAATATCTGAGCCTTATTTTGGGTCTTAACGCTGACAGTACCCTTTAGCAGAATGTCAACACTAGAAAGATTTCGTTGTCAGCTGACGGTGGCAGTGAAAAAGGAATTCTCAAAAAGCAAGAGTAACCTCCCCCACACCTGCCAAGAAACAAAGAGCCCAACCCGCAGCCCTCAGTCTCCCAGCCGGAGCAGCTGCTCTGGCCCCGCACCCTCCAGCAGAGCCCGGGATGGGTCCCCTCCCACCCCTGCTCTCCAGACTTATCAGGAGCAGACATCTGCAGCAAGGTCTTTGGGGACCACCCAGGGGGCAGTCAGAGAACCCTGGGGCTCCCCGAGAATTTGCAGAAAGGTCAAGAGTCACTTGCTCTAACAGTTGACTGAAAGGATCTCAGAGAGACCCAGCGGAAAGGTCATCTTAAGATAGTGACAGGGCACAGCTTGAGGGGGGTGAAGAGGAGAGGACAGGATTTCTTTTTTAAGTAGCAAAAAAGTACATCTGTTTCTGGCTCAGCTTAGTCTGATTTTTATTTCGATGGCATTTCCTTGGCTTTTCCAATTCACGTCTAAATCACAAAATGTGTCCATTGTGCACTTCTGGGCTTGCGTCTATGTGCCACGAAGCCCGACGCTGCAAATGCATTTTCTCACTTCATTAAACATTGCTTTAAAATGGCATCCAAATGTCCGTTCTCCCATCAGGCCTACAGGGGATCGTGTTACTCTTCCCCCCAGTGGGAACAGAAGGAGCGCCTAAGTCACAAGCTGTGATGTTTAATATTTTTCAATTTTGCATGTCCGCCTTTGCAGGCTGATTGCAGGGCCAGCCTGGGCAGCCGGGCTGATGTGTGAAAGGGCCCTCATTGTCCTCGGGAGGTGCCACTGGCCCTGCAGATCTCCCATCTCCACTGCAGCAGCCCGAACCCGCCTGCGCCCGGGGGAGCCCTTTGCACTTCGCCGGGCGAGCTGCTGACTCCACCTCCCACAGGCAGGCCAGGACACATCCTGCTGACTTAAGAAGATGCCACGTAAATTAGAACTCATGTAACCATATGGTTCAAACCTGCGGGTCATATTTTATACACAAATGACTATGACAGGCGGTATTTTTGTGCTGACAAGTTGTATTTCATCCATGCTTACTTAGAATTCCATGCTATCATTAAAAGCTAAGCAATAGAACTTTATCATATTTTTATGCAAAAGCTTGATTGAGTTTCCTTCTTATTAAAAACAGAAGAAAAATTCACCCAAGCAGCTCTTGCTTCCTCCTTAACTCTTATTATCCAAGTGTTTGGTGCTACGGTGGTTTCAGATGTTCCAACAACAGGGGTTTGAAAGGATTTCCGGAACCCTGGCTTCCAGACTGACCTGCATTGAGTGTGCCAAACAGCTATTTCACTTGGTCCCCAAAATAGGAAGCACACTCGTTTACCGGCCACCCAATGCTGTGTAACCTCTGGATGTTCGAACACAGAACCAATTGACTCGACCTTCCTTGGTTCCACCTCCTAGAGTCTCCACTGCAGTGATCAGTAACCTCCAAGGCCCTTGGGTTGAGCAAGAAAATTGCAATCAAGATGCTACCTGGATCATTCTACAGCCTGGTTCTTAGAAGACAAACCTTAGAAAAATACCCTCTCAAGTTTACTAGAATTCTAATTAAACTCACAACCTAGCAAATCCTGGACACACTGTGACTATATTAAGATTGGAAGAACTAAGAGACTTCAGCACATATCTTGAACTCAAGTGGAAATATATATTTGAATAGATATATTCAAAATAGTTCCTGTAAATATGTCTTCTCTGTTGAGAAAATGCCTTGGACCCCCAATTCATTCTTTACTCTGCAATCCAAAGTGGCCCTACTTTCTGGATCAAAACTAGGCATGTGGTTTTGGAGAGGATTTTTCTGATTTATGAATGAATTGATAGAAAATATTCTGACAAAGCTACCAATTATAGTCACATTTAGTTACATACTTAACAAGTGACCTTTCTTGAAAATAATAAAATTTATTTTAAATCAGGACTACTCTGACCACTCTGGGCACATAGTTGCCAAGCCCGACATTAGGAAACTGCCCGGAAAGTCTGAGGGGCATTTCTAGTAGCTCAGAGAAAGCAGATCACTTCTCTCCAGCCAGGGGTACATGGGTTTGAATCCTGACTTCACCTCTTTCTTTCTTTAAGCAAATCCATAACGCCTCCAAGCTCAATTTCTTCACCCGTAAAATGGATACAGAGTACAGCATCTAAGGCACCTATTAAATTTTTATTTCTTCATTGTACCCCCAACTGAATGAACACCTGTGCCCCCCAAACCATGAGATTGCCCGGAGAGTAACTAGGAGTGGGAAAGGCGCTATGTACCCGACTGAAATTTGGTTTTGTCTCCCTCACAATCTCCTCCCTCTTGGCACCATCTCTCTTCCACAGGTGCTTGTCCTTTAAGTCTTCACTGACAATGGCTTGGGGACTAACTCAGCCCAGGTACATTTTAATGAGAGACTCCGCAAAATCTTAAAGCCTTTAAAGATTCAAAGGAATAATTTTCTTTTCATGGGCGTGTGTCATTCTATTTTAAAAGTAATATCTGATTAATACAAAAAATGAAAAATGCGTAAAAGCCCAAAGCAGAAGAATCACCCATCATCCTGGTACCCAATGACAAGCACCACCAGGGGAAGACAAACAAACAGAGGATATGACCGCCAGCTGGCCCTTGGGCTGGACATGGGCGACTGGGGGCTGCTCAGGCCCACCCCGCCCTGGGAATGCACATCCCGCCCACCAGTCCCGCGGGGGCAGCTGTTCCAGGGACAGAGCCTGGAGAGCAGGGTGTCGCTGAGACCATCTGGACGATCGATGGGACTGGACTCAGTTAAGGCCTCTAGATAAACTTAAAGATTCTGATGGGCAGGCGTGCAGATCTGCTTGGCCCGCGGTTGCCCAGGACAAGCCGCCTAAGCTCCCTTGTTGATTAAAATCGCCACCCACAGTCGGGAGTCGGCCGCTCCTTTCCCCTGCCTCTCCTTGCCCACCCTGCAAGGGGCCAGGTAGTGAACCAACACACCCTGAACATTGTGTGGTATTTTCTTTTGGTCTTTCCTGTATGCCTGTTTATTTTGACCTTTATTTGTGTGTGTATGTTTTTAAAAGGGGTGATTAGTTACATTGTTGCTTTTAGTTTTGACTTAGGACAGAATGCACACACAACTTTGCATGTTGTTGTTGTTTTTCCTTTAACGTAATTCAGGAAACATTTCTCACATTATTATAGACTTCTCATACATTTTAATGGCTGCAAAATAAGGGATATGTTTTTAAAGGTATAATTTCCAACTCTATTAGGTGCTGTGGGAGATAAATGTATAAAACCAAAACTAAATGTAGGTTCTCTAAAAGGCAGTGGGTTTGGTCTCTGCGGTAACTTTGGTGCCTGGACTAATGCCTGGCCCATGATAGGGGCCCTTTAATAAATAATAAGAATGGGTGACTGTGTGGAGCCCTAGGTGCCCCTGAGGCTCCCTCGCCTGACCAGCACCGGCCCCTGCTTTGCTATGAGCTCGTTCTTCGTGATGACTGACAGGTAACTCACTCTCTCCATGCTTTGCTTTCTTCTGTGATCCGTTGCTAAGACACAAGTAAGAGTAAATACATGATTTATAAAAATAGCAACAGGGTTTTTAAAGCACCTGCTTTCCATTTCACACCCTCGCACGCATGCTTTAAAACCTACAGGGGAATCTGAGAATGCTTTAAATTGTTTATTAGAGTTTTTCAGGAATCAGGGGGGAAAATGCAAGTTATAAGACAGCCATCTCTGTGATTCTCTGATCCCCAGGTATCTAAATATGTTGGGGACTTCACACAAACAAATAAACAGATGCCAAAATAAATTATAAATGGTACGTTGCTCTATTTAGCTAACATCTTTGATGCCCAGGAAAAACAAGTCAGCACTTTGCCCTGCCCTCTGGGGACTCATCACCAAGAAGGAGAGTAAGATCAGTGGTTCAACCCAAGGACCAGAAACTGATTCACGGAAAATTTCAAATAACGACTGAGCAGAGCTGAAAGGATATTTCCTGACATGCCTATGCCTAGTGAAAGGCCCCCAGGAGCGAAAACAGATTTTTGCTTATCTAGGCACCACCACTGATTTACCCTTGTATCCTACCAAGTGATTCCTACTGTATTGCATATATGTGCTGCCAAACTTCTTTTTGCACCTCTAAAACCTAAAGATACATACCCCTGTAAATGTCCACAGACCTGTTGTCTGAGCAGAATTCAACTTTGAAAACAAATATAATGTGAGTGAGAAAAATGTTAAAAGTTGAAAGCATTATCAGTACCACTTAGCTTTGTTTATGAGGTCTAGCCCTGCCAGCCCGAGGGGAAAAGGGAAGGACAAGAATTGCCACAGTCTCCTTTCTCTTGCAGCCCACAGTTGGATTTCAGACGACAGAGGTAGTTTTCGAGGCCACAGCAAAGGTGGGTAAGAAATTGGGGAGATGGAACCGCTCGGGGGAACTAAAGCAAGTGGGGAGATATCACGGGTTAAAGAAGAGGAGCTGGAGAACTTTTTGGATTTTAAAAATTAATCTTTAATTATGTAAAAGGATGGTTATACAAGAGGGTGACCTCTTTTTTCCATCCCTTCTGGGGCAGGTCAAGAGAAAATGGGCTTAAGCTGTAGCGGGGCGGATTTAGGTAAGACAGAGGAAGGAATTTCCTGAATGTGCAGGTCGTTAAACGCTGGAATGAGTTACTAAGGGAGTCTGTGGACACTCTTCCTCTGGGGAACATTTAAAAATAAGATAAATTTTCATCTGTCAGGGAGGGTTTAGAAGTAATCCAACCAGAAGGCCTCTCAAAGCATTTTCCAGCCCTATAACCTGAAGGCCAAATGCCCTCCCATTTTATTTCTACAGAGAACTAGATGTGAGACGGATGCCTGAAGCAGAATTCAGGGGTTCAGATACAGTAACCAGAGGCTAAGGCTTTTTGTTCTA